CGAAAATGAATGAGGAAGAGAAGAGCTGAAAATCCAAAAGTATTTCATGTTGACATATCATGTCTGGCTCATACCTGACCTACTTAATAAGGTCAGTATCAAGGCTGATACCAAACCCAAACCTGAAACAAATATTTGAATGTCAGATCACCCATTTACTTGTCTTTTTCTCTCCCTCTTGCTGATGAAAAAATAATGTTTGGTTGCAGAGTGGCTTCTAGGCTAAAGCTTTGGCTACTTTGGGTAAATTCATTGTTGGTTTTTGCCTCATCAGTGTTCTCTCTCATAGTTTACTTTTAAAGGTCCTTATTTTACACTTTTTATTTGAAGTATTGATCCATTAGAGAATATATTTGTGGGTTTAAGAACCAAAAATCATCTCAATGGCTGTTTTCTGAGTGATCCAATAAAAAGATTTCAGATTTCAGGTAAACACAGGTTGGATGGTGAGTCGAGGTGGGCGGGGCTTGAGGCATGGCTGAGAATGGTGACTGCTATGTTGTGACATCACAAAGGTCAGGAAGTCCTGACGGCTTGTTTTAAGGCTCAGTTTCTAAATACTGTGGACTGAGCGCTTTCTGCTTTCAACATAACATAGACCTGCTTTATAATCAAATAACACATGGGAATCTCACATTATACAATATGGGACCTTTAAAGTATGTTTAGTCATGCACTAATAGGACTCCTGTATGTGTCCTATTCATTTACCCTGGTTGAAGGGGTTTGTTTACTGATATTTGTATGATTATCACTAATAGACATGATCTGTCTGGTTTCCACATCTCATAGTTTCTGGATAAGACAGCGCCTGATAAAAATCTGTCCTCCTGTCTCATCGCAGATTGTGAGAATCATTCTTGATGAATAATTCAGGCTCATATATTCTTCGTTTGAAACAAAAGAAACAAAAAAAAACATTTGAATTCACACAGCTTTAATTGCTGCAAGTCTGTTAAGCATATTAACAAAAAATAATTAATTGATCTGATTCACACTCATTTGATGAAGTTGGAGCACTGGAGCATATCAGAATCTTTATTTCTTTTGCATCCTCCATCTGCTTTCTATTTGTCCTCTCATTTCCTTGTGTTCTTCTCTGCTTGTCACCCTTTGATTCTCCCTTTTGTTTCGCCTGCACTGTTCATCTCTCATCTATTTCCCCTCACTGTCCATCATCCCACTTGTCACCTGCAGCCCCCCCCCCCCCCCCCCCCCCACCACCCTCCACCCATTCTCTCTCTTCTTGCTGCTATGCTTCTCCCCCTGTGCTCCTCCTTTGAGACCACTGAAGTCTGTCCTCATCTCCTGGGATAATGTCACGTCAATCTTGACAAGAACGCTCCTTAGACGTGCCAGGCGATCAGTTGGTCAGTCTACTTTTTAACTGGGTTTTGGGTGTCTGTCTGTGCGTACATCGAACATACATATGTCCATATGCACATCTGTGAAAATATCTTTTTAGTCAGACTTATGCAGGTGTCCTTTGTGGCCGTCAGTATACACTGCCAGCTCCGACATATCTGTCTGCCCCAGTGTGGGTGTAAACGGAGGGTTGGCACTGATAGCGTTAGCATACTCTGGGGTTCAAGAAAGACAGAAATTCCACAGAGAGTGAGGAGGGGGCAGCCTGAAGACTGGAAATTTGAGAGACTGAGATGAGTGAGATAAAGAAAAAAAAAAGGTGAAGGGTCCCAGGGGGGCAGTAAATGAGAGAAGGGAATGAATAAGGTGACCAAGATTTAAGGAGAGTGAGGTAGAGCCTAAAGACCACAGCGGATAAGTTAAACAAAGGAGGGAGGTTTTTGGATTGAACTGATATATTGAATTTACTCTCTTCTTTCTGGTCAATTGTCTGGCCTCTGCCAATATATTAAAATTAATTGGATCATTCCTGAAGTGCAGCAGCAACTCATTTTGCAGCCGGAGCAGGCTAAATCAACTTGCAGGTAATTGAAGAAAAGTTGAGAGGCAAAGAGAGGCTAACAGCAAACTTGCACTCCCTGTGGATTAAAAAATGACACAGCCAGGGCAATGGATTTTTTTTTTTTTTTTACCTATATGAGAGGTAGCATAATGAAGTATGGGGCACTCATCACAAAGGCGCATGTCAGCTTTGACAAGGCAATTAGAGAAGAGCAGCATCTCACCCACTCAACAACACCTAATTTATTCTAGCTCAAGGTGAAGATGCTGTAAGATCCATCACCTGAAATCATTTGAGAAGGTGGCGATGATGCGATTGCACACAAACATTAAGGTTCAGGTTCACATCTTGATACATGTCATAAGTAAACTTGATAGAAAACAGTGGTTTCATAAAAGGCACAGTTAAAAAGCGGAATGTCAGTAGAAAGTGTATGTGAATTATTTGAAAGCAGCACAATGGAAAAAAAAAAAGAAAAAAAAAACGTCAGTTATGGTGAAAAAATAAATGAAAGGGTGAAGCAAGGCAGGAGGTAAAAGAGAGACAGGAGATGAAAGAGCGTTGATAGACAGACTGACATTGCGAGAGATGCAGCAAGAGGGATGACGAAAGCTCCGCTGAAGTCAGACACACGGCAGATTGAAGAGCAGTAAGAAGAGAATTTGATTTTTGTCAGCCTCTCTTTGACTTCCAACTTCTACTGACTCAAACTAAAGCAATAAGCCCCAAGAGGCTTCGGTTAACAGATACGGGGGGTCGTTAGGCACAACGTGGAGCTGATTATTAGTATTTATCTAGATATCGTCGTTAATTGTGCAATTGTAGGAGGCTTCTGGTTAGGATGCCTACAGGGCGCCTCCCATTGGAGTTCTTACAGGCACGTCAGAGACAGTTGAGAAAAGAGACGGCGCACTTACAATCGTTTCCTGTATCTGCGGCACACATGGGTTTCGCCGCCGTCCCCTTTAGGAGACCGGCGGCAGGCCAGAGTCCGCTCATTTCAATGGGAGTGGTGAATGTGATCACAGATTATGATTCTTTTGCCCCATATAGTCACCAAAATAAATATTGGATCCATTTTTCACAAGCCACAGATATCCAGAACATTCTGACATTACAATGATATTTTTTCAGACAGACAGACAAGGAGAAAATTGACTTTGTTCAAGACCTGTCGAGATCTGGCAACACAGATCTCTCTTCTCTCTTTTGTTTTCACTGCTGCAGCGGAGCTACTGATGTTGCTTAGCAATCTCAGAAATTTAGAGGGACCTAAACATGCAACCTTGATTTAAAAGTTAAAACTGAAATAAAACTTGTTTTACTTTGCTTGATAATACTATTATTGTTATCATTACTGAACTATTTTTGGAGGGAAAGCAGAGAGTGTTAGACTAATATGATCTTGTAATGAGTTCATCAGATATAAGTTAGCAGATAAAAGCAAGCAGCAAAATCAGGCATAAATTCATACTGTTTCTAGTGTTGTATTGTTGTTAGGTTGTGACATGAACAAACAATCACAACCACGACCACTTAAGAGACAGTAAATGTATACCACTCACACTGTAGACCCGGTCACACTGTGCGTGTGTGTAGCTCAGCCAATCATAGCTAATCAAAGAGCAGAACTATCTGTTTTATAAATGAAGACAAAGTTAGAAGTTAGCAAAACTCACACTGGAGTTTTGACTTCTATTTTTCTGTGCTAAATTATAACTCTAGTATTCAGTAACAGTAACCACCTCAGTTTGCCGGACGAGGCGATAACCAGGAAATTGCCAAATGGGAGTACTCAAAATGAAACATGAGAACTAAATGCTTCGGTGGAAACTGAATCCCTAATTCTGTGGTGGGCAGCGTGGGAAATGTAGCTGCGGGGGTGGCAATGGGGAAAATTGGGAACAATGAGCTATTGGACATGAACTGTGACGGCCTATTATTATTTTTAATTGAATACAACCAGCAGAGACATACAACAGTCTTCACATAAGCCATAACTTCAAAACAACATAATTACAACATACTGTATTTTCTGTGAAGTCGCTGCAGTCACAGTAGTAATTTTCACATTTCCTGAATTGAATGTAAATCATTTGACTGAGACAGTTTTTTTTGTGTTTTTTTTTTTTCCAGAAGTTTACTTCTTGTCCTCGCTGCCGCAGACTGCAGATTAATGAAACGGTGTAATGTAACAATCAGCTGCGTGATAAAACACTGCAGAACACTAACATGACAGACAGCATTAATCAAGGCTGCTTCTGACTGTGGGAAGACATTTTCCACAGGCAATAATAGCAACAGGAGGAAAAATAAAATAACATTAGTTTTATCCTTTTGACCTAATAACATAGACCCGTTAGAGGAGTAAAAATGGAGATCCGGTTTTATAAAGTCCAGATATTGACATTTTGAAAGTTGTAATGCGGTCTCTAAATAGAGGCTACTGTTGCATGAAGTAAGAAGTCAATGCAGCCACAGCAGTATGAGCAGAAACAATAAGATGCTTAGTGTTTACAGGTATGTGGCTGTATGAACTTTTGAGGTTCAGCATGCATGATGATGGATTGCCAGTGCTGGTTGGCAGACATGTGATCCCGTAATTCCTCACATATGCACGCAAGCAGTCTTAACCACTTCATTAACTTTTAATTTCCCATTTGAGTAAATCAGAAAATAGAATGTAATAACTTTTGTCTGATGTTTGTTGACTGCCGTGAAATGTGAAGAAAAAAAAAGAAGGATATCACAACAGGCTCTGTGCAGTAATCCTCATTAATGTTAATATACAGAGACAATGTTAGCAGTTTACCACACTGTCAGTGTGTACTCCATAATATATGCCATTTTATGCACTTAATTCTTTGGCATGCATCATTTAGTTTTAACATTTACAGTGATTTCAATGCTGTTTTAGAGACTTGAATAGCATCAAATATTGGATGTCAACAAACCAAACTATTGACAGCAGCTCTTAAAACTCAGTATTTCTTAAAACCTGCTGATTTCAAAGAAAGTAATCTCACCCCTCACCAATCCTCCCGGCTCTCCCCTTTTCTCTCTCTCCATCTAGAGCTGATAGATGGGACCCCCACCTTGAAAATCAACCACGGCTCTGGCACAGTGGTGCTACAGTTGCCAGGCAACGTGAACGTGGCAGACAGGCGCTGGCATCGGCTGGATGTCCGCAGCAACAGCAAGGTGGGACGCTTCACCCATTTAACACCAACCGCCATTTATCACCACTTAACAAACAAGCCTCAAGTAGATTCACACTGAGCAAAACTAGAGGGTGAAAAACAGGTTATTTTTGGGGCAGCTGTTTGTTTTTGGTTTTTTTTGCTTTCAATTTCACACTTTTGTTACTAAAATCAGGAAATGTTTTCCTGTATGAAAACATTCTGTAGACTTCTGACTTTTGTGTAAAATGGCAGACAACTGCACAATTGTCATGTTGATATAAACATGCCATGTTCATCCTCTCTGCACCCATGTGGGCGAAGACATGTCACTTACTAATACAAGACAAGAAATTAAAGTGTATGAGTGCTAGTGATAATATATGTCCTTCCCCCTGAGAAGAGTTCAGCTCCTATAACCACCTCTTTGTCCTCTGAGACTGCCCATGCTGTCAGCATGTTGAAGCAGATCATAAAGTAGAGGACACTACTACTGAACATGTTTGTGGATGAGGAAAAAAAAAAAAGACGATAAACCCCTAACACAATGTAGTTTTGAAGGTGATCTGCACCTTTGTTGGCGTTCACACATGTTGAACATCTACCACAATGGCTCACATGCAAGAAAGAAGTTGCTCTTGCGGTTCAGTTTCACATCATCTGCAAGATGACTGAAATTAGACTTTATATTATTGGGCAGTGCTTACGTCCTGGTATTTATGTCATTTCCGCAAACTCCATTTAAGTTTTGGCCATATTTCATGCACGATTCTAAGAGCAGAGCAGAGATATGAGTAGATAGACCAAAAATAAATTCTGCCTGCTCCATCAGTTCTGAACACCAGTGGCAGGGGAACATGCTCGATCATGGCATTCTGGACCAGTCATATAACAGCAAAAAAGAGAGCTCTCCAACATTGGAGTAATAATTGTTTGCCAAACAATAAACTAAACAAACGTATTCGGTGCAAACAATGATTCCTGTCATGATTATGAACAAATGAACACAACCTTCCAGCCGGGCTTCCAAAATTATTCCATCTCATGAACTCCAGATATCAGTCATTTGGCCCCATGCAATCCTACTTGACATGATTATTTCCCAAGGATCCAAATGGGGAAGATGTTAAGATGTAATTTAGCGGTGCAGAACTCTCTGCACTGTACAGTACAAAGGGATGTAATAGTGATGAGTGAGACGAATGATTGCAATGGCCCTCCTATGACATTTTCTTCCCAGGATCATTTCTGGCGAATTCAATTAGAGCGAAATTAAGCTAATCTTCATTTCACCGAGGACCGCCTTGAGCTCTTCACCTCCGAGGACTCGCTCATAACCACCGCCGTATAGTTCTTGTCCCTCTTAAATATCAAGAAGACAGTCAGTGATCCTATTTTTAGAGTCTTTGATATAACCCAGCCTGAGTACTTCCAGCCTTACAGTCTCACTCTGAGCTTAGGACGCTCTGAAGCAGCTGGACCGGCTGCATCTCAACCTTGTTTTGGGGGAAATCAACCCAACATGGATGAGGACCGCTGCAGTAAAAGCAAGGATTGAGTCAGATTTTTGTCAGAAGTTTGCCAAAAATAAATGCCTTTTCATGTCCAGCACCTTCAGAGGACAATTTGATTAAAACCTAAAATTGAATTATTACACTTAGGTCAATTAAATTTGCTTTGTGTAGCTGCTTACTCAAAGACTCTTAATGTCACCCCCCTTCAAATAAACTATTTACACAAGCTTAAGTGCAGGCTAACCATTTTAAGAAAGGCCTGCAATCAGGAACCACTAGATTGCTACTGAAGTGTGAGTGTGTTAGTGTGTGTAATTTGTGCCCTGTACCAAACTGTTCTACACAGTAACATACCATCAGTGTAACAAAAAACTCACCCGTATTGTTCATCGTTTTTTATCTGTTAAATTTCTTTTGAATGAAAGATGTCAGGGTGAGCTTCACATTGACATATGCATGAACATGAGTACTTTGCTCGGTGTTCAGAATGAGAGCGACCAAATGAATACATGAATGCACCAAGACTTGGAGTAATACGACAGCATTACCCGGAATCGCTTGACTACAAAAATGCATTGAGAATGTTGTTATTACAGCAGGGATTATGCTGCATCACAATGGTATTATTCTAAATCACAAGTGAATCTATTCAGTTGTCCTGAATAGTCAGCTTATCTAACCTGGTTGTGTGACGGCATGAGATCAAAAGCAGCAAGGACAGAGCTACTGTCTGGAGATTTACTCTGTGATCCAGCAGCCAAGAATCTCACCATGAACAGTGTTTTAAACTGTGAACTGTATGGGATAAGGATAACATACAACAATAAACTGTACGAATAATAGAGCAGAAGAAATTTGAGATCATTCTTCTTAAGGAAGCATTGCCATTGTCCTCTGAAACTATGGGAACTTGTAGGGGACTGACGTTGTTTACATATTGTTGTGAGTGTAAAGTAGGGATGTCATGAAGCCAATACCAATCATATTCCATGATTCCAGCTGAAAAAACAGAAAACAACAGAAACTGCTGCTCACACAGTGTGCTAACACACACACCTCCATGTAGTCAGCGTTCAAGCAGTAGTTTAAATTGGCCATTAAGGCGATAAACCCATGATGTGAAAAAATGTATAAAAAGTCAGTGTTATATTCTGACAGACTGAACAGAAGTGACAGCAGCCAGCACACATTATGATCTATAGTTAGTTAGTCTGAGCAAGCTAGCGTTATCCTTTGTGAACGCTACAGCAGATGCCAGCTGTTGCAATTCACAAACAATAACAGTAACATTTCAATCGTAGTTAAGTGTTGATATGTACAGGGAAGTAAGTGTCAGTGTTTAATTCTTTTTTTAATCCACTGTTTATGTGACACTATCAACCTAGTTGATGCTACTGAGCTGGCACAGGTGGTATACAGTGTATTAGCTGCTGTGTCTGAAAACATGTGCCTCCTGTTGATACTAGGTTTGAAGTAAAACTACAAGCCTGAAGTGACAAACATCCTGTCATTTTACTGTATAGAGTAAAACCATCAATTATACAGTTCATTACCTCAGCTCAACGGCTGTTTCAGTGTCTTTATGCAAGTCGCCGTCCAGGGGAACATCCTCAGTTGTACCGGACAGTTTAACATCACCTACTGTATGATATTATCTCGCCCACCTCCCTTTACTGTCATCTTCTTTTGACAGTAACTTCATGTCAAACCCTTCACTCTTAAATTTCTGTCACAGTGCAGCTCAGCTCTGACGACATGTCATTGACATCAAAAAAGGCTGGGTCTGTTCTTGGCAGGAGTCTGGACTCACTCAGGACTGTTGTGGAGAGACGCATACAATGTAAGATGGAGGCCATCTTAGACATTACCAGCCATCCTCTCCACAACATTCTGACAGGACAGAGAAGCAGCTATAGCTGCAGCAAACGTTTCATCTCACTGTGCTGCAGAACAGAGAGGTTCAGGAGATCCTTTGTTCCCACTGTCATCAGGCTATACAACACCTCAGCCAAAGGCAGTGGACTAATCTAATTTTATTTATCTAAGTTTATTTATTATTAACATTTTTAAATATTATTATTATTATTATTAATATTATTATTATTATTATTATTATCAACAATGAGCTAATGGACAATGGATAAGTATCTATCTATCTATCTATCTATCTATAGCTCTATTAATATTTTCTGTGATTTTTGTGTGACTTTCTTTTTTAACTCTTGGGAAACATTTTAGTAACTAAATCTTNTATACAACACCTCAGCCAAAGGCAGTGGACTAATCTAATTTTATTTATCTAAGTTTATTTATTATTAACATTTTTAAATATTATTATTATTAATATTATTATTATTATTATTATTATTATTATCAACAATGAGCTAATGGACAATGGATAAGTATCTATCTATCTATCTATCTATAGCTCTATTAATATTTTCTGTGATTTTTGTGTGACTTTCTTTTTTAACTCTTGGGAAACATTTTAGTAACTAAATCTTTAAAAATGTGTGAGTGGAACAGGTGGTCTTACAGCAATTGTAAGCAATTACGGTTTTGTTTATGCTTATGGTCAATTCTTATTTAAAAAGCACACATACTAATGAACAGGTGATGTTTTTCAGTTTGGAAGAGGCAATTAATTACAAGTATGTGCAGTTAAGAGAGTTTGGTTAATCCAACTTTGGACATTTGCACAAACAGAAAAAAGTAGAGGTTTAAACTAAGAATACAAAAATGTTCTTACATATGGCCTAATATGTTTATTAATCATGTCTAACATTATCTGAAGTATAAAGATTGATGTTTTACCATTCCAAAGTGGGAATATGTTAAAGTTAATGCCCTACACTAATTTATACATTTAAATATCTGACAGAGATATTGCAATTAAATCATCTGTTCTTCGGACATATAAATGAGTTTGCCGAGGTTGTATTCTGACAACATGTGAAAGCTTTCATCACAAATGTGAAAAAGGTAAATTCATTAGTTCTGTGTATTGTTTCAACACAGTACTAATGGCTGCAACTGCATGCTAAAACACTAGCACACACAGAGCGTTGTTAACCAGCAGAGTAATTGTGATTAGTTTGGTGCCAATTTTTATATCAGGTAAGTGTGATGTGAGCTGCATGTGTAAGATTTAAAAAAAAAATAAAAAATTCATGTCTGACTTTGTCTTTAACTTTAATGTTACCTTTGTTTTGTTTCGTTTTGTTTCGTTCATCACTTTCTTATGTTACTATTTACAGTAGCATCTGTAGTGCAGAACAACCTTTAAAGAGAGTCAAACAGTAGAAGGGATAAATGACTTGAGCTTGAGCTGATTAGAAATAGGTTGTCATGGCTTGTGCTTAACCAGCTTAAGCATTTGTCACTTTAAGAAGAGACATAATAAGCAGCAGCAAAGTAAAATGCACTAATGAAATAAGTGACAGTAAGACAGGCAGATACAACTATAATGGTAAAAGAGCAACAGGAGGTAAATTCATTGTAAAGGCAATAATTAGGGAGCTTCATTGATGCATATACTGTCTGATAACATTAGTCCTATCCAGCACGTGCTTGTTTGTGTGTTCTCTGCAGGAAGTGCGTTTCACCCTGGATCGCTGTTCAGGGGCAGCGGTGATGGAAATGGAGGGTCTGGGCAGCTGGTTGACCACGGAGGACCACTCCTCCTGTGAAGTGACAGGCGTTACACCCAACACTGACAGGTACACACAGACACCTGAGCGCACACATACGCGCATCTTTTTTTCAAAGAGAGCTGTGACTTTATGTGTGGGGATACGTGGCGGAATTTGTGTCAGGGTTATTTGATGTCCTTTTAATTGGGGCCAGAGGAAAGACTTTTGATTTCCAAGTCGTTACTTGACGTAAAAAAGTGAGGGAACATAATCATAGGGTGATTATCATGAAAGGGCTGTGGACAAATATGAAGGTAAAATGAGAATAAGCTCATAGGATGTAAAGACTTTTATGCTTGTATCACTCTGTACCACTTAAACTGTGCATCACTCCATTCTTATCTGTCTCCTGTTAATGTTTTTTATAGAATCTAGATGAAACTCAAATTTACTTTGGATGGTATTGTGGTCTTCATCTTAAAGCTGCACTTATCAATATGTTTGTATTCAAAAAAGATCAAATGACTAAGTGCATTATGTAAACGCTTACACATAGTGACAAACCTACAGCTTCAGCTCTAAGGAGCATCTTTTAGTGCATCTTTTAGAGGGTCACCTTTGATTTTCTGTGTTAAATGTTGAAAAGCTGATAACATTAAAAGCTACAGCAATGGCTACAAAAATGTCACTAATTATGCGGCAAAATCATATTGTGTTCAAATATGTCAACACCTCCATGTTTGATTTCCAAGTCATTCCAACAATTGTATCCAAATGACAAGGATATGGCAATGCATGCATTAATTGTACCATGAGCCCTGATTGTCAGCAGTGCCAGTTTGCATATGCGTGCGTCCGTGTGTTTGTGTGTTTCAGACACCTGAATATGAGCCAGGTCCTGCAGCTTGGCGGTGTCAACGAGGACATCCCCTACATCTACCCCCAGCTTCAGCATAAACACTTCACCGGCTGCATTCGCAACCTCGTCGTGGATAGCAAGGTGACACACGCAGTGTTGACACATACACACACACACACACACACACACACCCCCACATATAGCCACACAAACATTAGCACACCAGGACGCGAGCAAACTCAAGCTCACACCTGCACTCAGCTGATAAATGGATTAATAAGAGGTTTTCAACATTCACAGCACCCTTGTGCGACGTAAGAGATGTTTTTTTATGCTTTTAACTGTAACCTCAAAGCGCCTTCAAATACTACATATGTGCGCTCCAAGGGTGAAATGGAATATGAACCTTTCCACTCTTGCCCAAACTGACTTCCAAGTCTGGACTTTCAAGTAACCCTCTACTGCTCTGCTGGAGGTGAAAAATTAAGGGCTCCATGCTCGACCATGACAATCCGAGCCCAACCCCAACAAAACCCATATCATTCCTGTATGAACAGAGGCCTCAGGTATGATAGCCTTTTGTGAACCCGTTGCCTTCGAAAGCCTGAAATTTTTATTAAAATTTTATTTTCCGCCGCATCAAATAAAGTTTGGCATCAAATAAACCTGTAACTAAGTGAGAAATTTTGCCACTGCCTGTCCAAAACTATTGAGTTTTGCCAGACATAACTGGTATTAAGACAAAAATGTCATTTTAGACTGAATTCCCACTGATGCAGAGTGGGTGAGATGTGGCTTCCCTGATAATCAAAAAAAACAAATGGAAGAATGACCAAACACATTAGCAATTAGATGTAGATTTTTTGCTCACTGCTCATATATGCAGTATTTCACTTATGACTCTTTTAGAAGTAATATTACTTGCTGCCAGGGAAAATGTCTTACTCTCATATTTGCATCCCAAATGAGCCTTGCATTCAGATGTACATTCGATCTGATCATGGCACTTTTGGAGGGGAGCAGAGATTCTCATCTTTTATGACACTTTCGTAGGAGGCAACAGAAACTTTGACAGGTTGTTTTTGCCACAGTCTTGCTTGCAGCTGTATTGAACACTGCCGCAGTGACAACTTCAAATTGGATACAAGAAATGAGCAACTGCTGTTACCGTGGGAGCAGATCGTGCTGGACTCTTTCAGTGAAGCTCTAGTTCTTCAAATGTTCAAGTGGTGGAGGTTGAATAAATGCATGCTCTTATTTTGTAATAAAGAAACAAAAGTGGTATCAGGTGTATGATCCTGATAGACATGATACTGCAGCTGAGCAGGACTTTATTTAAAGCTGAGTAATATTTTATCTAAACCAGGGGTTCCCAACCTTTTCCAACTCGAGGCCCACTTGAAAATGTCAAAAATGTTGGCGACCCACATCCGATCCAAATAATGGGTTCTCAGAGCAAACACAGCATCTGAAACATGTTGCACCACTTTCAGTATTACAGAGTTTTCAAGGAGCTGTCCATCTGCACTACATAAAATGGGCTGTCTGCAATAGGCTATTTAACAAATAAATGATTACGAAATATATAATGGTATCGCTCAACAAATGAGAAATAAATGGATAGGCCTGTAAACAAACATAAAACCAATGTAGGTCTATGCTGTAAATTAAGCATGGGCAAAGCCAGACCAAACTTAAATACAAGCAGCAGCCATTATTGCAAAGAAACAACATTAAAAACTGCCAACAATATGAAGACGTCATGGTTTTAAAAACAACAGTCCATTACCAGTGAATTTACCTCCTGCTCCAGTATGTGTTTGTCCTTTTGCACTACATGCAACATCCACTGCTGGCTCATACAGGGGCTTTCATCCCTGACACGTATCCACAGCTGGTTCATTTTTAATGAATGAAATGATGTTTTATATCAAATCGAGGAGCCTACAAACATACACAAATTCAATACTGTAAATTCAGCCTGTAGGCATAACCAGAAGAAAAATATTTAAATAAGCAAAGCAACAATTGCAACAAAACAAAATTAAAACATTGCACTCGTACTTATTGATAATTATAGAGCTGCAGTGGATTGGTTCAACAGTAGGTCAACAATATGTTGACTCACCTAATGAGACGGCTGATGTTGCATAGCTGCCACCAAATGCTTGATGTCTGGCACAACAGATGAGAGTCTCAGTGGAAGATCTGGCTCAACAGTCGGGATACTTAGAAGCAACATGAAGCCAGATGTTTTTCCACTCGCTTCTGTGAGAAAACCAGTTTCAATGCGTCGTCGCAGGAGAGATCCACAAGACTGTCTTGCTCTTTTGCGCCCAGGGCTGCGAGGGCCTCGTCGCTGTGTCTGGCGAATGGGTTTTTCTATCCAACTTCACTGCGCATCTGGGATGGGGATGAATTCGCGCAGCTGGGTCTTCAAAACCTTGCAGGTGCTCTTTGATAGCTTTGGTCATGCTGATGGGAACCGGAATCTGTTCCTTTGTCACAAAATCTGACAGATTTTCAAATGAGTCATAATTTGAATGGTCGATTCGCTGAACCTACAGCTCCAGTTCTCTAATGGTCACTTCGACCTTATTCTGGACATTGAACATGTTCACTGCTGTTCCCTGGAGGCCAAGATTAAGTCCATTTAAGTGGCTGAAAATATCAGTCAGGTAACCCGATGTAGCCAACCACTCAAAGTCACTGAGATGTGCCAGTTCAAACTTTGTGTCCAGAAAAAACACCCGAGCGTCAACTTTTTTCTTTTTTGTGTGACGGCGAGAGGTAACTTGTCGATTCACCATGTCACGATCTGTCACTATGCGGGTAAGGCTGGACCCAAAATGCAGCCAACACAGGGGAGACGGTGCAAAATGTTTATTAAACAAAAGAGCTTACACAGCACTGGTGAAGCACAGGGAAACACAAGAACTTAAACAACAGGCCAAAACACGAGGAACCACAGGGGATGACAACAGGAGACATGAATAGGCAACATGAACAGACCGAGGAAAACCCAGAGATCAACAGACGAACCGACACAGACAAAGGGGAGCACAAAGACTATATAGACACAAGGGAGGCAAGGGTGATTGAACACAGGTGAAACACATTAGGGCGGGGCAGACAATCACCACACAGAAACAGGACCAAGACAGGAAGTAAAAACACTGAGACACACAAGGAAACCAATTATAAAATAAAACAGGAAGTGACAAAAGTCCAAACCAACTAATAAAAAGTGTCTGCCATGGCAAACCATGACACAACATCTGTCTCTAGACCCTTTTAATTCTTCCTGTTGCTAACCAGCTCTCCATTTTGATTCTCCAGTTTTTGCCATGGATGTGATATTTTAGCACGCAATCAGACTGAGATAGCAAACAAGTACAGGTGGGGTCCCCCGGCAAAGTGGTCCAGTCGGCGACGACATTAAAGTTCCTCTCATTGGTTCATCACCGGAAAAAACAAAACAAAACATAAATACCAAAAACAAAAAAAAAAAAAGAATGAAAGGAGTTTTTAAAAAATGTTTTTCAAGATCATTCTGTTTTAAAACATTTAAAACAGTTTTTATATTTTGATTTTTTTTATAAACATACTTTTTCACCAGAACTGTAATGTTTTGCAAATGACTTGGCGGCCCACCTGCAATATCGCTGCGGCCCTCAGGTTGGGAATCACTGATCTAAACTATACATTAATGCTAAAACCTAGCAGAGCCTTGTACAGAGCAGAGAACGCATGAACGAATGTGATATCTCAGTAACACCTTAAAGGAACTTCTTCAAATTTGGCACAAACATTCACTTAAACTCAAGGAGAAACTGATTCAGTTCAATTGCTGGTCAAAGGTCAAAGTCAGAGGAACCTCACAAAACACAGTTTTGGCTTTGTGAACCCGATATGTCTGGGACTCCACAAAAGAATCCCTTCAATTTTGGCACAAATGTCCTCTTGGAGTCAAGGACGAGCTGATTAGATTTTGGTGGTGAAAGGTCAAAGGTCACTGTGACCTCACAAAGCATGTTTTTGGCCTCTTGAATGTGATATCTCAAGACGTCTTGAGGGAATTTCTTCAGATTTGGCACAAACGTTCAAGGTCAAAGACACTGTGACCTCACAAAACACATTTTTTTGGCCATAAGTTACTAAATTAATATGCGAATAATGACACGATTTAACACAAATGTCTATCAGGATAAAATTATAACGTAATGATGTTAGTTAATACTCAACCGTGACATCATAATGTTTTTCTAAAACACTTGTGTCCATCATTCAATGCTGTAGCCCAGGAAGGGAGATTGGGAACATATTTCCTGCGGTTGGCTGATTGGTGGAGGCTGTCAGTCAAGTCAACCGCACAACGCTGCTACACGTAAGCATTTAATACACCCGGGCCTGTTAACTCATAAGCACCACCAGCCTGTCAAAATAAAGAAGTCAATAATATGAGCCTAATGACATGAGCATGCTACTAGTATTTAGCCTAATAGTCACTTCCGGCCAGTACTTCCATATAATGAGGTCAGTATTTTTACGTACTGTACACACAATGCTTACAATCCTAACACAACTGTTGTGTGTCCAATGTGATCAACCGACTTACTTTTTCAATTTGACCAAAATCACCTGTTGTTCACTTAAGTACAAAACAAATTGTTTATATATATATATATATATATATATATATGTATATTTATGAAACTGACTGTGCAAGTGTGTTTCATACATGTGTGCACAAATGACAAATCTCCATCAAAATATCTGTCAGAGGCTGCTGTGTGTAAATCGCCACGGGGCCTCTGGGGGCGGTGAGTGTGGCTTTTAGAAAGTGTAATCTTGTTACCTCCATAAACACAATTTATCTGTATTCATTCAGTAGACCCTTAAAGCTCGATTAAGATGTTAAATCTCAAGACTGGGGATATAAAAGGATATAAGTTTCTGCTGCAGCAGTTCTTAAGGCTGGTATTTGATGTTGTGTACCTTAGCTGGAGACATAGCGGGAGGCTGCACAAATGTTGTGTGCTAATAAGAAATCTCCATGATGCATGTGGGTGGACATGCAGATAATAAATCAAGCAACAGTAGACATACTGATGATTAATAATGGTGATGGACATGTTCCGGTATTGTGTAATTTTTTTTTTTTTTTTTTTTTCCCTCCTCTTATTTTTTCCGATGTTGTTGTTGTTTTTATTATCACAGAATGTGCTAATGTGTCACATTTGTTGCCATGGCAACATCATCTGTTTCACTTTAGGTGTGAGTGCATGGGACGTGGTTAAGGTAGTTGACGTTGATAGATGTACTTGCTGTAAATGTGTGTTTGTTGTACATCTCCATATTTGTCTGTGACTTTACTTCTGTGTGTGTGTCTGTTTGTATGTTTTATATTTCTTGATCCTGTGATTAGGGAACCTGTCTGTGTCCGCTGTGTATGCGTCTATATGTAAAGTATGTATGTATGTGTGTGATGTCTGTAGGCATCTGTGTCTGCATTTTGTGCATTTGAATTCCTCTGTTTTGGAGTCACACAGAGATACAGGATGTCAGCAACATGCCAGCTGCATTAAACCTATTCAAGTATGATGTAAACAGTGTGTGTGTGTGTGTGTGTGGGGGTGGGTGGGTGTGGATAAAGAGGAGACCAAACAGACTGGGCCCAGTGCAGGAGGGAACACGAGGCTCTGTCCAGGAAAATGGACAGAAATTTTATAATTGTGTTTCTATTCTTGAGTTGGGTCTCTCGCCTCTGGCTGTCATTCGCCATTGTCTGTTTTCAACTCTCTCCATCCTTGTCCAGTCATTATTCTGCTTGTCTTTCTCCCTTCAGCTCTCAGTCTAACATTACCGCTTTAAGTTTTTCTGTGGTTTTGTCACAACTGTCACTTCATTTTCAAGCGTAGAGGTTTTGCAGTTACAGGGGTTGGACTAATGTTGGATTTGCAGTGTGTCTCTGCAAAAAGTTTGACTATGGTTTCCGACTGAGGAATGCGTGATTAGATAAATCATTTTTCTTTTATTTGGACCTCTTCAAGTGAAGGTAAGGATTCACATTTAGAAACGATTAGATTTGGTGTTATTGTCTTTCTAGAATGGGTTGTGATATGTGCCACAGCCGCCAACCATCTGGCTCACTAGGCTATGTTTTATATACAGGCTGTGTTTTATACCACCAAAGTATCTCTAATATCTTCCATTTGTCTTTTGGTTGTGCACGTATTATTCTGTTCGTTTTGAGCGTATAACAGTAGTCCAGGTATCCGATCACGGACCGTCATCAACACTTCAAGGTCACAAGATGTATTAGTCTGCTTGTGTGATAAAAGATAACACCCATGGCAAAAACTGGAGTATCAAAATGGATAGCTTGTTAGCAACCGGAAGAGGTCAAGACACAGGTGGCGACTCTACAAGTGATCAGTCTATGTCAAACAAATAAGCAAAATTGCGCCTCCCCTGCTTTCAGTTCAGTCCTGAATGTTCCAGTGTTATCATTCAAATAAAAAGTGCTCAGAAAACATATCATCCCGCCTCTGTATTGTTACGGTGTTGGGTGTGGGCCACCGACATTTTGGAGACTTATAAGTGGGCCATTGGAAAAGGTTGGGAACCACTGCTCTAGACAACAAAGAGAGAGATTTAAGGTGATTTCTACACTAAACCAATATTAACAATGAGCTTTATAGGTTACTCGTATCAATTATCAGAGACGCACGTCATCAAATGCACAAATAGCACCATTTGACATTCAGTCAAATTGTTTTGCTGCATGGTTTCATTTTCCCAGTCTAACTAGACAAAGGTTGTGCCTCTTCCCAGTTTAACCCCTGAGCACATTTATTTGTTAGAAAAAAACACATCAGGAGCAATTTCAGTAAAACATGATGTCAGGTAGATGATTTAATTGAAAAATTCCACAAAAAAAACTTAAGGCCGTGACAGGTTCCCAGCAGAGTGGAGGCTTATGGAATCAGTCATATATTGGTGTCTGCAAACTTTTGGCAAATGTACTGTATTCCAAGGAGCACTGAAACAATTCTGGTGGTTCACGGTGGGCCAGCACCTTATCGTGACTGTATTATGGCTTTTCATGTAATTTGTCATTGATCACCATCATTAACATTCACAGTTTGTGCTCTGACAATAAAACCCTGTTTCTGCCATCATGACTTCCTCTGAGTTGAGACGGAGCTACGAGGTTCAGCCATTTTTAGGCAAAAACCTCACTCACTTGTACCCAGCACCCTCACCGTTGTATTTTGGTCTCAAATTTGTTTTTTTGCTTCCTGTGGGCTCGAGACATTTTTATACCCAACACCTGAAATTAATCTTGGCAAATAGGACAGCCTGCAGCGTGTCTGTGCGGGGGGTGTGACACTCTTCTCAGCTGAGGCCACGATTTGTAATTTAAGCAGGAGCAGGTGTATTTTTGCATTCAACTCATATATTAGTCCAAGTGCTTTGCTCAGACATACACACACACACACACACACACACACACACACACACACACCGCAGTGACACAGATGCACAGTCAAATCAATTGCAAACACCCCAATGTGTCTTTCAGTCATTGATTGCTAATGTCCGTGTTTGCAATCCACATCCAAACCCGGCGAGCAGAAGAAGAAGCCCTAGCTTTTTAAAGGTCAGCAACCAATAAGACGCCTCTCTGCTGGAGGTCAAAGCCAATCAGCTGTTCCCTGGTGCTGTGACTCACTGTCAGTTATTAGGACCCCCACATCAGCAACAGTACTCATAAAGAGTGGGAGAACAGATTGAACATATTAATGTCTTTCATGTTATGCTTTTGTGAGGGACACACATGTAGCCGTCCAAGGTTCCATCCTTTCAGCTTTCTGTACGGTCGGCCATGCTGTTTGTCTGTTAGAAGATTGTTTCCGGTGTGAGAGAGACTCACACAGAGTAGAGAGAGAGAGAGATGAGAGTGGAAAAGAAGGCCACAGTGTACCCTGAGCTCATGTCCTTCAACACATTTTCAAAGTTTTCCTCTTCAGTTCTTTCATTTTTTCTCTGTTTGACTTTAACTTTCTTTAACCCAAAACTCCACCCCTCCCCCCCCCCCCCCCCCGGCTACTTACCCCTGTGTGTCCTGTGACTTCCCAAATCCCTGCTCTCTGCTGTCGCTTTGTCTTTCTGTTTCCTGTTTGTAAGCTACTTACTTATTGGCAACTCTTCCTTCTTCCCATCTTCTCATCTCACCTTTCCGCACCTCGTTCCCTTTTTCTTTCCTTTTAAACACTGTCCCCTTTCTCTCTTCTTTCCCTCTTTTCATTTCTCATTTCTCCTCGTATCCGCATCTCTTCATACTCCACGTCTTGTCACTCCTCTCCTCTCCTCTCCTCTCCTCTCCTCTCCTGTCCTCTCCTGTCCTCTCCTCTCCTCTTTACATTTTTCATCCCTCCATCACCTCCCCTCTATCTCCTCAATTCAGCTGTATGATTTGGGCTCCCCGGCTGATTCGCAGTCCAGCTCTCCGGGCTGCCTGACCACCGATAGCAGCTGTGTCAACATGGGCTATCCGTCCTGCGGCCACCGGGGTCGCTGTCACGGCGAGTGGGGCTCCTTCAGTTGCCAGTGTGTGCCGGGATACACAGGAAACCAGTGTGAAGAGGGTAAGCCAAACTTTTTTTTTTTTTAACATATGCATTAAAGAAACACCTCAAATGTGCAGTAGACTGTACCATCGACAACAACAAAATCATCCATGTGTTCTGGAAAGATCACATGGCAAAAAAAACATAAGTGTCTATGTTGAGTTATAGCATGATAAACTAGAGGATAAATGGTTTTATACTGAAAACAGCTCTACAACAAATGAACTCACTGTGTAGTAAATAAAATAAATGCTTTATCACCTAAAACAGCTTTCAAATATAAACTTGTCACCGTAAGTGAATTTACAGGCCATATAATTATCACATTTAAAATAAACACTGGTGTCACTGGTGCAAATTACCTTTCTAGCTTATAGCTTCAGCTACATTATGTAATGCAGCCATTCGGTTTCATGTAAGGATTACAGTGGATGAAATGAGACACACTAACATGTCACAGGTTTTTTCTTTTATTATTATTTATTTCTTTTTTATTTGCAGTGTAAAGTTTCAGTCGAGGCCGTGTTAAATCTACCTGACAGGAATTTATTGTCAACATCCTTGTGGAGATTAAAGGTGGAAAACACCATTTTGTAATCGTGATATAAATAGTAAATTAATACAAATAAATAGAAAATAAAGCTTGAGTGGACTAATGTCATTATTGGATATTACCGACCACAGTTAATTACTTCTATTAGCACCCATTGCTGTTTCCATGCCTCACTTAACATTATACAATGCGCTCTGCTTCGTGACATCCTTTATGCGGGTGGGATGTGCTCTATTTGTAAATTCATGCATATATAGGTCAAGTTCTCGCCTTTCCCTTTGAGGATTCTTCATTACTGCTGTGTAATTCTTGTTTTACCCAGAGAGCAGCATGCGAGCCCTCGGCAGTGCCCATAATAAGGATCCTTATGGCCTGAGTAAAGCAGCTCTTTCTTTATGTTGGCCTCATGGCTGCGGAGGCTGTGGTTTGCCTGCATGCAGCAGTTGGAGGAGACGATAGTTGGACTGAGATGGGATCTTTAATGACCATCATTGGCCTGGTCCTGCACCACCAATTGTACACGTCCTCCAGACTGAGGATTGTACCTCCAGTGATGCTTTTTGCTGATAGCAGCACCCTCTGCCAGGCTTTGCGGTTTTGTTTGGTTCCAGTCTTGTACCGCATGGTCCCGCTCCCCCACTGGGCTCACTCTAGAATGTGCAAGGATGTCAGTTCATAAAATCAATATTAGATCAATAAGATACAAAAACTTACTTTTCATGTTTTCAATTAGCAAAAATCTCTTTCATAAACAGTTTAATTCTTCTGAGGGAATTTCACCATGTAGCTCTTAAACTACTGTAATGCTGTGTCCACAGTGATTTCTGTGCACAGTAATTCATACTAAGTGTCATTTCCAAGCCTCCAAACAACCAATAGAGGGCAGATAGACATTTTATCAATGAGTAATTAAGTGAGTGAATTAATGAATAAATGAATGCAGGAATGTGAATGAATCACTCTGCATATTTATGAGATGATTCATATCTTTGAACAAGCAACAAAGACTGGAGTCGGTGACCAAGTAGGGGCACATGGATGATGATCCTGGCAACAAAAGACGCTTCTCTTTGAAAGAAGAGAAAGCAGCGGGTATTCTTACAGACTGTGTTTATGTTTGTGTGGATTACATTTGCAAGTTAGTGAAAACCCAGGCTGGCTGCAGTTTGGTTAGACAGAGCACACACGAAAGAAAGAAAGAAAGGAAGGAAGGAAGAAAGGAAGGAAGGAAAAGAAAGAGGTCCTTTTTATGACCTGTCCCTGTTAGGAAATGAGAGAGGTACAAATTCGTTCACAGTCTGCTTCTCAACCCCTGTCGTCTCTTTACTCTATAATAAAGTCACAGACCCCCCCCCCCCAAAACAAAAAAAAACAAAAACAAAAAAAGAGCCCTCTTTATGTCTGTTTTTAACTTGCCCTATATCGAGATTGTGCCTGGAGATGCTTTAGCTGAAGCATATTTACACCTGATTTTAAATAGAATTTCCGGCATACACATTATATTTTCATTTCATTTTTTTTAACAAAGAAAAAAGGCTTTTACTGTAGTAATGTTACATACTCAAATGTATGTACGTTTAGTATGTCCCACCTACCTTTGTTGACATTCAGACCGTAAACATCATTGCATTAAAAAAAATTGGCTGAGTTGGTAGGGGGTGTGTTGTTTCAGGTGAGAGACATCCATCAGTCTTTACACACTGCAGAGTGGGTTGTAATTTTCTGAGGAAGGATTTCACTGCTCTAATTAAATTCTGTTCCCCAAGATGTTCTTCCTTATGTCAGAGGTGCATTAAAAGGTCAAGCAGGGGCTTCTGCAAGGTTAGCCCACTACACTCTACTGTACTGAGCGATCGATGTATGAATAAGGTGTGTTTATTAGTGCAATATTGATATTGTTAGAAGGATTTCATATCCACACAAACAGCGTCTTTTAAACAGCTGCAGGGAAACACAAGACAACATAGGCTTCAAGCAGGATCTCATCAAGCACCAAGCGTTGTCAAAGTTACACTGTTGCGATACAAAGAGGGAGAGACGTGTGGAAACAATAGACAGAGGAAGATTTAACTTCAATATGCTGTGAGATGGAAGAAGGGCTTTGAAAACATTTTAGGTGTGCTTGGTTTTGTCTGCCTGGCGTGCACAAAAAAAATCCACTTCTGGGAATATGGGTCTAACAAGAAGAATCAAGCATAACTCAAAGTAAACCACACACACACACACACACACACACACACACACTACTTGTATATTTTGCATATTCTGTCCTGCCACCAGCTCTCTGCATACGTGGGGAATTAAGGGTCTGATTTAGTTGAAGTTACTTGAGGTCACTTCCTTCCTTCTGGAGTGAAGCTCTAAATGGATAAAAAGTGATGCCTTGCCTTTAAAACTTTAATTGTGTTTATTCTCAATCATAGCACTTTCTGACTGATCTGTGTGTGTGTGTGTGTGTGTGTGTGTGTGTGTGTGTGTGTGTGTGTGTGTGTGTCTCTGCCAACACCAGAGGTCCCAGAGTATTCCTTTGATGGACACAGTCACGTGCATTACAAGTTGGCCTCCCCGCTGCCAGCCCGGAAGACATGGGTCCAAGTCCTGGTTCGAACCCGCAAACACAGCAGCACCATCCTCAATCTGATCTCCAAGGAGCAGAGCGAATACCTCCGACTAGAGGTAAAGCTGCTATGTGAGTGTGTGTGAGGGGTAAACTGTGATGGAAGACTGTGAAAGCTTGTCTGCTCTTTTTCAACATTCTTCAGAGTAGCTGTTGATTTTCTTACATTATCGTCGTGTGTGGGAACAAATCTCCTGTCTCCTCTTCCTTCCATCCTGAAAAGTAACGTCAGTCATTTTCCTCAGTCATAAACTGATCTTAAAGTATCTGCCGTTGCTGTTGCTGCTATGTAAACTTCAGCTGAAAAAACCTGAAAACAAGAACACCTGAACAAGCTACAGATATCTCCCCCTGATGTTACCAACATGGTTTATTAACATGGTTTTTCATGAGGGACGCGCACCATCACAGTAAGCGTTTAAAGGAACAGTTGAATATTTGTGGGAAAGGCCTTTCTTTGTGCATGTGCAAGAGTTGACCGACATCCTGAAAGCTGACAATGCTAACTTCTGTGGTGTGCTCCTATAGACATTAATGCTAATGGAATTCTTCCCCTTTTTTCAACAAGCCTGCCGTTAGCCTTTTCAGCTGTCGGTCAACAAGGTAGCTAGGCTAACAAGCTGCACCTGCAAAAGTGGATGTTAACCTAGCTTGCTACTGTGACAGTGACCCCCACTTGATGTGGGACTACTACTTTTCATGTCAGGCCATTTCAACACCATATACTGTAAATAAAGATGGACGTAGCCTCTGAGGTTGACGCTCGTTCAATACCTGACACTTTGAGCTCCTTTGCACTCACTGCTGTGTTAGTACATCATAGAAAGTGGAGCGTGTAGCTAGTATTAGCTCTCTCTCCTGGGTCTAGTTGTGGTGATGGCAAATAACCAGAGTATCAAAACTTACAGCAATGAGTAGCACTATAAAACCACAAACTGTTGTTTTTATGTTTCTGACTGGGCACCAGTTAAACAAACAAGATATAAATGAATCAGTCAGCTTTAATTAGCTGCTACAGTAGGTACATTATCTTGTCATTTTACAGTCACCTGATCTGACTGTGTCTTGTTCTGGATCCATCCACTGCTCACTCACTGCACAGACATGAGATGCTGATGATGATTGATATTCTAATGTGTAGTTTATTTTCCAAAATGGTGAACTATTCATTTAATTACGTGAGCAGTGTTGCTTGTATATTGCAGGGTCCCTGCAATTAATCTGTGATGATATCACAACAACTTCATCTAACAAACTCATCTATTGTAATGCACCATAGATATGCTCCCAAAGTGATCTCAGGCTTTAATTCAATGCATTGTCTGAACTCATGATACGGAAATGATGTAGATCGACAGTGAAAGCAAACTGTCAGGGATGAATACATTAACTGTATTATTTGGTCATTTATCTTGAAGGCTTCATTTCTCCTAATCGTTTTTCCTTCAGTTGCTTTGCTCACTCTTGAATTGCTCTCTCATATTTGTTTATTTCCCAGCTACCCTCTGTTTTTCTTTGTCATCCTCTCCACCCCCGACTTACTTTTGGAGTCATGCACTACCCTCCCAGTCCTTTCCTCTTGCTGTGTCCCACCTCACGCTGCGACCGCAGGTATTGATCAAACACCAGTTTCTAAAACGAGGATGGTTATCCATACCACAGCTGCCGCTATAGTACAACCTCTGATCCCCGCTTGTTATCCATCTGTCTCTCCTTCCTATTCATCCATTCGTACACTTCCTCTTAAATGTCACACTGCTCCCTCAGCACAGTCACATGGGCAGCGGGGTTCACATCATTTATCCACCATAAATAGTGCATTTATTCCCAGGCGCGCATACCGTGAAAATGTGTGTAATCTTATGAAGTAGCCCCCCCTCAGTGCAACATTGGGAACCCTGCAATGCTCTTTGATAGAAATATAACCGTGTTGCCTTCTGGGATTATGTTTTTCAGTGTAATACTTCTGTTTGCTTTTAATCAGAGGAAGGAATTAGTATGCGTTACTCTCGGCTGGCTGCAAACTCACAATGTGAAGAGCTCTTTGTTTCTGCTGTTTGTGTGTGACTCGCATTGCAACAAGATGGTTAGTTAAAGATGTTCCACTTTCTTTGTTCTAAGATACTTTTTCCATCTTGGATTACAAGTAGTTGGTTTTTAAATTTGCTTTGTTAAATTGTCGATTTATCGGAGACAGCGAATGTTCATCTACATCAATGTAAATGTGATGAGATTAGTTCAAGAGTGAATTCATATCCACTTCAAAAATGTTCAAATGCTGTTGAAGATTAAAGCACCCTAGTTCATGCTAAGCCATTGGGGACAGTATATGTAACAAAACAATTAAGTCAAAGGTTCACACACTAACTTTCACAGCTTTCAGTCGCATCTCACAGCCTTCAACAGTGAATGGATGTGGTTCAGGTGATGTGTGGAGGCGTACATGGGTGTAGATCGCAACCCTGGTTTTGATTAATCTTTGGTGTAGGAGGTGCACAATCTCTTTGATATCATTCAGTGCTGCATCTGTGGCTACATGTTGTTCTTCAGTGGTGTATATTTCTTACTCCTGTCGACTGGTCCAATGTGGCCACGGCAGAGTTGTGTCAAGATGTTTTCAGAGGCTACAAGGGAGATTTCATCAATTTTAAAACATCAGGATTTTGTGTCAGTCGCTCAGAATGAAGACATTCCTTTTGACAGGGAGACATCACTCATTGAAACTGCAGCCAGACTTGTCTCTTTACTATCAGTAGACCACACCACAGTTCACTCACAAGACATATTAGCTGCGTCACAATTCCACAATGGAAATTCCAATCACGTTTTTAGTAATATGTTCACATAAGAGCAATGTTGGGCAAGTTACTTGAAAACTCATTAGACATTAGAAATTAGTCATTGATGAAATACATTACTAATTACTCATTGCTCATCAAATGAGGTGACTCCTTAATGAACAACTTTGGAATTACCTGGAGTCACATTTCTCCTCTTTTGGTTGAGGCTACCACCTGCTCCGCAAGCTGACCTCCAAATGTCAGTAATGTCAGTAAGTAACAAAGGGTTTCTGGGCTTAGTAACTGTGATGTGATGACTGAATTTCAAATTGTAATCCCTTAGACTACTCGTTACTGAAAAAATTACTCACATTACTGTAATGTATTACTAAGTGATGCATTACTGCCGTTACACTGCACTGGAAAATAACAAAATTAAGTATTGGAGTTACTAAAACTACTGGTATTGTGAGTACTTTGTTGATGTTAGTTACTGTCCGTCCCTGCAGCATGGACAATAAATTTAAAAGCTGCGAGTTGGGAAAAAAAAAATCCTAAATACATAATTGGAGATACATATAAAATGCAGATTGCTTCCCAGCCGGGTGCCAGGGCTCATTGAACGGTTTGATGAGTATGAAAGTGATGTGAATCAACATATACTACGGCTCTCACGGTCTCCAGATCTTAACCCAACTTAACAGCTATTGGACATTTTTGACCATGATCAAAATAGCGAATGAAAGAAAATTCTTTGGAGCAAAAGGTGTATATCCCTCCATTAGAATCTATGACAAGGAGTTGGCTCAACACATTTCTAAGAGCTAAGATATATTGGTTTTACCTTTGTCACTTCTGTGCACTTACATCAGGAACTTGCTCACTGTTTGCGATGTTATCCAGTTTAAAACTACTGTTGCAAGAGCATTGTGAAGTCATAAGTCATTACTAAATTGACTGTACACTGTGTTAAAACTATTTATATTATTACTGTGAACAGTCCGTTACAACAGCTCAAATGGCCAAAACTGGAAAAAAAACTTGGCACCCCACTTCCATCAATAAAGTCCCTTTACCAAAAATGAAAAGGGCACATAAAATCAATTCAGATCCCACTTGCCCTACTCACCTCCTGTTCCAGCTGCTACCCTCAGGCAGGAACTATACTATAAATCGCTGCCCTCCAGGACAAACTGTTTTTCGGACCTTGAGTTCCTTGGCTCCTGTTGTGCTGTGTGTATGGTGATATCTGAAGTGATTGTAGAGATGGTGGTTGTTGTCTGTGCACTGGTGTCGATGGAACTGCGCTGTTCACCCTGTAACCGAATCTGATTCCACCAGCTTAGCTGTTCTATTAAAGGGAACTGAACTGAACTGAAATGACAACATAGTGTTCTCTCCCCTCACATGTTGTACGCCATCGTTCAAAGCCAAAGTGAATTCATTTGGTTTTCTCATAGATTTAAATACATTGCTGCGTGATGAAGTAGTGCTGGATCATGGGAGTTGTTGTCCTCATCAACATTGCTGTAAGCCTCTCCTGGTTTGGATTCCTTCAGTGTCAGTTGCTCAGGAGTTTTTTTTTACATGGAGCTGAATTATCCACAGAGGTGTCCTCCTCTCCATAACCAATGGACCAGGGGATTAAAACCAGTAGAAACCCAGAATTAAGCAGTTTTACTTAAAAAATCAGTCAGTCACCGATGCAGTTCAGCAGACGCAGGATGTCCTAGAGCGCCTGGGAGCTGAGCTGCCCAAAATTTGTTTGGCTTTTTTCTCCGATAACTTAAGATCCAGACGTCTGATGACCAAAATCTTTCATCTGGTTAAAATATATAGCTGAAAACAACCTAGGTGTAAAATACGTATCTATGTAAAATGTGGCTTACAACTGGATAAAAGTTAATTATGAGCTTCTGGCAGCCAACCACAACACTGACACGTGCATAATAGGATATAACATCATTGACAGGTGACTGGATGAAACAGACTGTTACCATGATTAAAATCACAGATTGCTCTAGGTGTGAGAATTGCTGGAAACATTTGGGGTGATGTAAGAAAACAACTCAACAAAAATATGTAACATTGGTCTAGTCATTTTTTTAGACATTTTACTGCGGAAACGTTACATATTATAACCCGAACTAATCACAGGAGCAGTAATGACATCCCTTTTCTTCTGTTACCGTCATGCTCTGGGACCATGGTGCCTATTTCAAGGTGTCATTACAGGGCACGCTTCAAGCTCCTGCTGTGTGCTCCCTGACAGATGTGGA